TTTTTGATGAGTAATGACAATAAATGATTAGTAATATGTACGAGATTTCGACCCAAATTCGGTCGTTCAGTGAAGGATAAGCTCTATAATTACTTTTTGCATTAGTTACGATGACTAATCAATACTATGAAACGAGTAAAAGAAATCGTAGAAACGAATTTGGTGAGGAAGGAGGAAGTTTGTGACAGTAGACTGAATTCTGAACGAAAATATTGACCTTTTATAGTGAAAAAATCGAATCAGTCAAAGATCAGAAAGGTTCGGGGGAAATCGAAATTAATCTCAATTTTCCATTTAGCATTGAATAGCAAGGCATTGTAAAACAGAAAGCATTTCATACAGATTATACAAAAAAGTAAATAATACTGTCACATACAGTCTTTTTATGCAAACTGGGATTAACAGAATATTTTGTGTCACTGGAAGCCTTTCATGAATTGTCACAAACAGTTTTTCTGTAAAAATTGGGATTAACAGAATATTTCGTGTCAGTGGAAGCCTTCCATTGAATTACATAAATTTGCATTTGTGTCAGAAATAATATCACGACAAAATTGCTCTATAAAAATTTATTAATTTACTTAAATATCAAAATATTCAGAATAGTTTTCCCTTCTTGCATTTCATCATTGATGTTTTAGTCCTTTTCCTCTCACTCCTCTTTTGCAAATTTTTCAATTTAATTTAATTTGTCGAATGAAATTTGAGGGAAGATGAATATTCCTTATTGCTGATTAACGTAAAATAACGCTTTACCCATTTACCAGTCATTAAAAATGTCCAAAATTTTCTGCAAATTTTGCTTATTTTTTCTTCGACCTTTTTTCTGAACAAAATTAATCTTTGATTTCTACAACATGATCAATGGCATGTTATTACAATTGAGATATTTGTTTGGTAAAGTGAAAAATACATTTGAATAGGATGTAATCTGTTAGACATTTACTTTGCAAAATATTATATTTTTCAAATTTAAGGAAAGGATGAATGGGAAGGAAAAGGTTGAATAAAATTTTTTGACAACTTTCCAATCACTAAAAAAATCTTCACTTTCAATTATTTTATTTAAAAGAGTTATTTATTATCGATGATTATTTTCAAGAAAAATTTGCTAAATAAAAAGAAAAATGTTTGAAAACTTTATTGGACAACTCATTGGAATGTCATTGAAGCAAAATATGCTTTTCCAAAATTAATTACAGCAAATTTGAACCTAGAATGTTTAATATGCAAAGGTATTACGAATTGGAAGAGCTCACAGTTCCATATTTTCTAACAAATCAAATAGATCAAACTTCGATTGCAAGAAAGGAAAAAAACATCGACTCTCAGATATAGCAAGAACAGATGTTTGGCCAAAACCGAGAGAAAAGGCGATCGAGGAGCACTTTCTTAATTTGGTAGATTACAAAATAAAATAAAATTCATATAGATTTTAAATTTGAAAATATTTTAATGTAATCAATCAATAAATATGATTGCAAAAAAGTGAATAATACTGTCACAAATAGTATTCCTACAGAAATTGGGATTAGCAGAATATTTTGTGTCACATAGCATGCATTGTAAAATAGAAAGTATTTCATACAGATTATGCAGAAATGTGAATGGTACTGTCACAAACAGTTTTTCTATGGAAAATGGGATTAACAGAATATTTCGTGTTAGTGGAAACCTTCCACTGAATTACATAAATTTGCGTTTGTGTCAGAAATAGAGGCATCCAAAAATAAGCTAGACCATCGATTGTCATTATTTATCATTCAGAGAAGCTTGTAGAATTTACATCATTTCCTATTATTTTTGCTTTGCATTCCTGTAAAGTCTTTCGAACTGTCAGGACGATGAATCGGAAATTTTTTCCCGGAACTGAAAAACACTATCGGTATTCTGCTAAGAATTCAAAAGAAATGCCTTTTTAGGAAATGTATGATAATGAAGAGTAAGTAACCTGCGATAAACAGATTCTATCCAACTTTTCAGGAAATAAGGAAGACCGAAATTAAGTCTGTTTTCTATTTTGCATTGAACAACATGCATTGCGAAACGGAAAATATTTCACACAGATTATGTAAAAAAGTAAATAATACTGTCACAAACAGTTGTTCTATAGGAATTGGGAATAACAGAATATTTCGTGTCACTGGGAACCTTTCATAGAATTACATAAATTTGGATTTGTGTCAGAAATAATATCACGACAAAATTGCTCTATAAAAATTTGTTAATTTACTTAAATATCAAAATTTTCAGAAAAGCTTCCCCTTCTTGCATTTCATCATTAATGTTTTATTCCTTTTCCTCTCACTTCTCTTTTGCAAATTTTTCAATTTAATGTAATTTGTCGAATGAAATTTAAGGGAAGGTGAAAATTTGTTGGTGTTGATTAACGTAAAAAAAACACTTTATCCATCTGACAATATTAAAAATGTCCGAAATTTCTTGCGAATTTTACTCTTTTTTTTTGAACAAAATTAATCTTTGATTTATACAAGATGATCAATGGCATGTTTTTGCAATTGAGATATTAGTCTAGTAATGTGAAAAATAAGATATTAAAAATTGGGAAATCTCAAAGTTGCATATATTCCAACAAATCCAACAGATCAAACTTCGATTGCAGGAAAGGAAAGGAACATTAGAATTCGATAAAAACATTCTTGATTTTCGAAATTTATCATTTTCTTATGTTAATTATAATTAATATATTAAATTATAAGCAAACCAATTGTCCCAATTTGCGGAACTTATCACACGATTTATTTTTGAACTTTTTGTTTTTAATTTACGTTTCGATAAATTTGACAACGATTTCTATTTCTTCACAAAAATCTTCAAGCGTTTGTCGTAGAAAATTTCCAATAACAACTATTGAATGCTCTGTTTCTTACCTCTGTTTTCCCGTTGGCAGGATTGGTTCAGTAGTCCGGTTTTCGGGATGGAACAAAAGTTAAAAGATGAGGAATTAATAATTCGTTTATGAAGAATGAATTGTTTTTACTGATGTATCATATTGTTTCTCACTTTATTTTTGCTTTTTTACTTTTTTGCTTTTTATAGGCATCAACCTCAGATATAGCAAGAACAGATGTCTGGCCAAAGTCAAGAGAAAGAGCGATCGAGGAGCGTTTTCCTAATTTGGGAAATTATAAAATTAAATAAAATTCTTATAAACTTTAAATTTGAAAATACTGTGATGTAATCAATCAATAATCATGATTAATTGGAATATTTTTTGTTTTGTAAAATTTAATCAACGATTTCATGCAGATATTTAAAAAAAAAAAGAAAAAGAGATGTCACTGTTTATGCCGATGATTCAGCCGTGACATACTGTTATCATCATAAATTTGTCGTATCGAAATCAGAATTGCTATGTGATCGTAATAAAGGTTTGGATATCCAACTTTGAGATATTATCAAACAAAGAGGTAGGAACAACTCTCAGTTTTTGAATCTCTCCATATTATCTAGCCCAACGACCTACTCGAAATACAACTTTAAAGTATACCATAACTCTTCGTTTGAATCCTGGTATTGTTCTTAGATTACAAGAATTAGCATGTTTGTTAACGCATGTGGAATTGTGCTCTTTGTTAGGGTACGTAAACGCAATAGATGCACAATTTTGACTTATATTTTATATTACACGTAAATCCATATATACAACATATACCTAGCAGTAGTTTACTTTTACTAACGATCCGAGCAACACTGGGCATTTAACAGCACGATCAGAATGACTCTGATAAGTTGTTAATTCAGTATTACAACAATTTTGGGTCGTAGACAAATGCAGTATATTATTCATTAGTTGTGAAAAATGGAGTGATGAGATTAATGTGAGGGATTCAATAAAGATATGCAATAGTTTAATTAAGGAATGCAATTGGAATTAGAATTGAACCAATATATCAAAAATGTAACTCATTCTGCCCCAAAAGATCAAGATTTTAATTTTTTGTCGATTTTTTTTTTAAATAATCCGAAGCAGATAGCATGATAGCAAGAAAACCTTATAGATTTACTTGGAATAATAATCAATCATTGAAATTTTGAAAGAAAAAATGATAGCAATCTTTGAATTCTCCCGAAAAATATGCATTTAATGGAAAAAAAAGAAAGAAGTTGTTCAATAAAAATACGCTCAATCCATATGTTTGATGGAAAATATTATGAGAAAACACTATTAATCTCTCTGATTTTTAAAGAAGGAGAAAGGAGAAAAGTACCGGCAAACAAAGAATTATTTCAGAACTGGAAAAAGTTTCGATAGTTCATTTTTGATAAATTTTGAAAAATTATTTTGATGAACAAGAAGAGAGAAAGTTGTAAAGCAATGTTTTAAATATTCTGTAATTTAGAATTATACTGTTTTCTTTTTTTCATGAATAGCTCAGAGGTTCATCTAGGAAATCTTTTATGGCACTAACACACGCATAAATGTATTACTCGAACATGATACCGGACCACTCAAATATGACACTGTGTCATCGAACATGATACCGTACCACTCAAACATGATATTGTATATTAAATGGAGTAATTTAATATCAAAAATAAGAAAAAGATAGGAATACAATATATGCTTAATTGAATTAGTTTGCACTAAGAATGTATCCTTTGCATATATTCCTCCTCTTTCTTTCTCTCTCTTTCCCCTTCTGTTCTCTTTGTCGCCGATTTTCTTCAACCGTGACAAAAACTGAGCGTTCGTTCTGCCTCCTTAGTTGGTAGTGCCTCAAACTTGGGTAATTAAACTTTTATTACGATAAATTTATTAATACGACAATAAACCTGCAAATACGACATCGATACAACAAATTAATAACAAAAACACTAGAAACAAAAAAGACAAAATCACGCCCGATACCTTACATCCAACCGACCTCAATGAAAATACATTTGTAAAAATGGATTGGTGCTCAGAACCCTTCGTTTCTTCGACTCGGAGGGTCCTTGTAGCATTTCATGATTACAAGAATTATCTTCCTTACGGAACACCCATTGGTACTGGATCTCTGTTAGCGCAAACGTAAGGCGATATTAGCATATAAAACAAAGACGTCTAGCTTTCAAAAAGGGAAATTACTATCCCTTTGTTTGTACTCGCGATATCAGCGATAGCTTTTCAAAAGCTGTTCTAAAAATAACAGCTTTAAAGGAAATTTGAATGGAACTTTCGTAAAATCAATAATAGAAGTTTTGAAAAATAAAAAGTGGGAAATACTTTAATATTCCCTCAATAGAGGATTTGTCCCAACAAGAAAAAGTAAGGGACGAATCAATTCCTACGTGCTCGCTTCTACCTTTCATAATATTTTCCACCAGATCTTTAAGCAAAATATCATTGACGAAATGATTATTCAACTTTTCCTAAATGGAAATATGATGACATTTAATGATTCATCTTATTTTTCGACACTTCATATTGCTAACATAAATGTAAATTGATGCAAATTTAATGAAAGATTTCCAGTGACACGAAATATTCTGCAAAGTCTAATTTCTATGGAAAGTTATCTGCGACAGTATCTGTAGCATTTGCTTTTTTTTTTTGCATAAATTGTCAAGAATATTTTCTGTTTTACAATGTGTAACTATTTAATGCAAATGAAAAAATCCTGACTAATTTCGATTTTTGGATTTTGTGATAATATCTTGTTGATCATTGGTTGAAATTTTCCTACTGTATTGCTTTAGTGTTCATCAGAACTAAAACAGAAAGGGATTGTAGAATTTGTTTTGAATACTTCACTAAACTGCTCCGAATTCATCCTCAAATCTCATGTATATTATTGATCATTTACCGTTATCTATCAAAAATTGGCCTTACAAAAAAAAAATATTTTTATGAAAAATGAAAAAGATGATTGGATGATTGAATCAAAACGATTGGACCCATCCCGTCTAAATTTTAAAAATTCGAAATTCATTTGTAGTAGTAAATGAATTCAATAAAGTCGTACTGGATATTGAAAACATTGAATCTATTTTAAATTTAAAGCCTCTGATGATAGTGGATTTTAAATGTCGTGCGATCCTTACATTTGTTGTGGGCCATGTGGCATCATTTAATATCATTTCAGCTGTAGATAGATTTTCCGGATTTTCGAACTCCCACTTTAAACGAAATATTTCGAAGTGATATTCTGTCGATAAATGTATTACTCGAACATGAAATCGAAGTGATATTCTGTGATAAACCATTGATACTCGAGAAATTGGAATAAATTCTGCCGCGTAATGCATTTGTTATTTAAACACTTTTTTTAAAAAAAAGAAAAACAAAAAATTTAGTATTGGTTTAATTGAAATTTTGTTTAGGAATAGGCGATTTGATATGGGATGAAGTTGAAATTCGATATTTCAACAATTTTTTGGTGAATACTTTTATTTATATGGATGTAGGAAAGAGAATTGTTTAATACTTACTTGTTGGATACTTACCAAGTTTAAAAACATTACGTTTTAAAAACAAAGTTTTACAAAATAAAAACATTACGTTGTTTAAAAGTTTAAATACGTCAGCAACTTAATTTTTTTAATTACCCTAGTTGAGATCACATCAATTTGATTCCAGAAAATGATAATCAGTACTATAATCAAAACTATAAAATGGTTAATCAATACTGTAAATAACGATGGTGAGATTCGAATTATATACTCATTAGAAAAGTGATTCAATGTATACACGATGAAGCTTATCACTATCATCATTTATCCGGAAAAGTGGCAAAATGCCATATTTGAAACATGAAACAATGAGTTTAAAATCGGACAAATGGGCGTGAGTAGCAAATCTTACTCCTGAAAAAAGAAAGAGAATGGAGGAAGAAATTGGTTCTGTATCAATTGTTAATCTTGCAATAAACAAATTGCAATACAAATTGCAATTGCAACAAATTGCAAATTGCAATAACAAATTGCAATACAAATTGCAAATTGCAATAAATTGCAATAAAAATTGCAATAACAAATTGCACAAATTGGAATAAATTGCAATAACAAACAAATTGCATTAATGGATCCTAATGAATTGATTAGTAGTAGCAGTAATAATAATGATGGATTATTTGTCCACACAAAAATATTCATGATGTTTGAATCTGTAAATTACGAGTTAAACCGTCGATCAAGAACATTGCATAACCGGATGACTAAATAATATGATAGATTTATAGAATAGGAATAATAGACAAATAAGCAATTTAGGAAAATGCAAACAGAAAATGTGAGCACGGTAAATAGCACAATACAGCAATGCATGCATAGCAAGATAATAATGCATGCATTTACGAGTTAACAATGCACGTACGTATATGGCAAATTAACAATGCATGCACAGCAAGATAATAAAGTATGTATGGCAAGCTAACAATGCATACATAACGCTAAAGCGAATTATTCGGTGGGACGAAAAACAATGCGATAATTTTATTGTTTTAACGGTTTGATGTTTAGAGTGGTTGGATTGCTCACACAGCGGAATGTTTTATTGTATTAGACGATGGAAGAGGAAAATAAGTATTTTCAATATTTTCATTATCGGAGGTCTTAATTAATTTATTCAAAATCTTCAAATTCTATTTGAGAGAAGTTTTTATTAAGAATTTCAACTTTAGAAAGGATTGATGATTTTAAAATAATTTCGTCGTCAACTTAATTTGAAGACCGTTGATGAATTTACATTTGATTTATATCATTTCAAATTTTTCCCCAAACCTGGGAGAAATTCTCAAAAAAAGCCTTATGCAAACAAAACATTCTACTAGCCAAAAAATCAAAAGATCGAACACAAAATATTTATTTTTGTCGATAGATCGGTAGGCCTACTGTAATTATATACAAAAACAGTAAAAATAATGATTTAGAATTTATTAAATTACTTGATTTGTAACTTTCCAAATTTTTGAATTATCAGACAATTTAAATGAATGATGAAGCCTTGTAGATTAGCAAGAGGAATCTAATCAAAAGGATACAAAATTTAATTCTTTAAAGTTTTTCACAAATTCAATTTTAGTGCTTCTTATTGCTTTGTTCCATCGAATGTCTAGGAAAAGCAATCAATTGCATGATTTAAGTGGATTTTGGGCTAACATTCATGAAAGCAAAAATTTTACAATGGAATTTAGAGATGAATCAATCAAATCATCAATCATAATACTTCCGAACGTAGAAGCATGCAAAAGTTTGCATCTTTCCATACGCACGTCATAATTAGTATAAAAGTGCCAATTAATTTTTTGGTAAAATGATATTATTTGGAATATTCACTTTTTATTCACATCTCAATTAGTGATTTGTTAAACTTTTTTGTTTTTCTTTTTAAACAATTTATGATTATTCATGAAAGTTGAAAATATTTTCACTGTTAAGCGTATGAAGCTCAAATAATGAAAATGATAGCAATAATAATAATAATAGCTATAATAATAATAATAATAAATAGTAGTAATAATAATAATAATAATAATAATAATAATAATAATAATAATAATAATAATAATAATAATAATAGATAATAATAATAATAATAACAATAATAATAACAATAATAATAATAATAATAATAATAATAATAATAATAATAATAATAATAATAAGTAATAATAATAATAATAATAA